CCCCCCCCACCAGACTGAGCAGCCTCCTGACTTTTCTGGGCAAGGCGGAGAAGCCCCCTTGGCCCAAGAGCTGCGTCTTGCTGGGCCCAGAGAAGAGCAGTGCTTGGGAGACGTTGGCTTGTGTGGGCGCCCAGGAGGAGGGACGGGAGGTCCTAGGGGCCAGGGGTTCCGGCTGGAGCCTTCGGGGCAGCCTTGGCTGGGGCTCTGCCTGATCCACCCTCTCTTCCTACCCCTGCACTGCTCCGTCATCGGCCAACGGAGAGCAACATCTCAGCCCCAAGGAAAGGCAGCTGACTCAAGCCTCTTCCCAGGCCCCACTTCCCCCGGGGCCGTCTAGGAGGTATCTGTGGGTCCCTTGGAGCCGAGGGCTTCCGTGCTCTGCAGGGATCCGGAGTGGGGACCCTGCCCCCCTGGAAATCTGGGCCTGCTGCTTCCATTCTGCTGAATGCCGAGTTGCTTGCAGGAGACGCCCTAAGGGCCACGTTCTGCCCCTCGCGTGGGCCCTCAGCACAGGTTGCATCCCCTCCGTTCTTTTCCCGGAGGCCCTGAAGGAAGACCTGCCAGAGCCTTCTTACTTCCTTCGCTCCCTCGGGTCCACTCAGAGACGCTCAGATTATGCATCGGCTTCTTTTTAAGCAGGTTTGTTGGGGGGGCTGAAAAGTGGGGGGCCCCTCTGCCTACCTGGAGCCCCGGCTGCCAGCACCCCCGAGCTTGGCTTCGGCGCCTCAACGCAGGGGGACCCATCAGCACCGGACAACCTGATCAAGAAGCAACCATAGTCATTCACAGCATCCAGCAAGGGGTTAGCGAGCAGCCGGCCACTCCCCACCAAGACGCCGGATAGATGTTTCCTCCGCAGAGCAGGCGCCCCCCCCCCCAGCAAACCGTCTCAGACACAATCGACAATTGCCGTTTGCCACTAACCTTTCCGCCGTGGGAGACAGGATTTCGGTCAGTGTTGGTGGCACCAGCTTGCCAGCCGCGTTTGTGTTCGGAGGCAGGGTGGCACCATTGAACATTTTGCATTGGGCGTGTGCCCTGGGCTGCTTGACCTGGGAGAAGATGTTGTAATATAGCTCCTTGTGTACGTGTGTGTCCCTCATGGCCCAGTTCATACCAGGGCATGCAGAGTCACGTTGAATCACACAGGAGAAAACAAATTCCTAGAACACCATAACATCCTGATAGTGCATAACATAACATCCTGAGATGTGCCCTACC